TAACTTCTCTTTAAACTCTGTTCTAGTTGTAGCCTTCACAGCCTCCTGCAGCAAGGAGTTCCACAGGTTGACTCTTTGCTTTGTGAAGAAGAACTTTCTGTTGTTAGTTTGAAGCCTGCTACCCATTCCTTTCCTTTGGTGTCCTCTAGTCCTTCTATTATGGGAACTAATGAAGAACTTTTCTTTATGCACCCTCTCCACACCACTCATGCTTTTATAGACCTCTATCATATCCCCCCTCAGTCTCGTCTTTTCTAAGCTGAAAAGTCCCAGTCTCTTTAGCCTCTCTTCATATGGGACCTGTTCCAAACCCCTGATCATTTTAGTTGCCCTCCCCTCTCCCACCCTCTCTCTTCCCCTCTCCCACCTCCTTTTCCCAGTCTCCCCGAGTTTTGTTCAATAAAGAGAGTTTCTATTTTTGAACACACGTGTCCTTTCTTTTGTACATCAGGAAGGGGGGCTAGGGAAGGGTAAGTGGAAGGAGGTGAGGAAGGATTGGGGTACGAGCCCCCAATGGGGAGGACTGGGGTGGCTCTGCGTGCTCCTCGGGGTGGAAGCTCTCCTGCAGCCCCCTGATTGACCCCCCCCGGATGGCCGCCTGCGGCAAGTGCAGCCGGGCTGATGGCCGAGTGCTGTGATGTGCCGAGTGTGGGCACTCAGGGCACTCTAAGCCAGGACTGCTTTGCAAGCGGGGAACCCCTGAGAACTGTCTGTCTGGGGTGGGGGTCTGGTCCCTTTAAGCACAGCCCTCGGCTAGCCTGAGATAGCAGCTCCACACTCTAAGTCCTAACCTGATGCCCTGCCGGCACTGCTTCCGGCCATCCTTAACTTCGGTTCAGGGTCCACTCAATGTGGACATGCTAGTTCAAATTAGCAAAATGCTAATTCGAACTAGTTTTTAGGTCTAGATGCACTAATTCGAATTAGCTTAGTTTGAATTAACTAATTTGAATTGTTAGCTTGAATTAGTGCTGTAGTGTAGACATTTCCTTATACAAATATACAGTGGTATGTGGCAACAGAGGGAGCTCAAGGTGCCCCAATGGGTACCACTGAGAAAAAAGGTTCTCATGTACCTACAGTGGAATGGACATGTGCAACACATCTTGAAGAACACTAGTTACCCAAAAGTAGGTAACCATATTATTCCTGACTTCTCCCCTTCTAAGGAAAGAACTTTAGTAATTTTATATATTCTTTCATCTTTAGTTTATTCACAAGGAAAATTAAGTAACGTTACATTATTTTTCTTACTGTTTCAAATAACTGACATTTGAGCAATTTAATCATGTTGTATTGCACTTCAGAATTTGTTATGAAGGAGTTCCTGTTTCAGAACTATACCAGGAGAATCAGAAAGATGGAATCAATGTTTTGCCACCACATACATCAGGAAGTTTAACAGAATGGCAAAAAATAGCTGAATATTATGTTGAAAAGCCACGACTGGAACTCTTAGGAGAGAAAGTAAGAACAAATATTGATAAAAATGTACAGTGAACAGTTTTACAAATAATTTCTCTGAACCAGAAAACATTCATAAATCATTTTGTTAGTATGTGCCATTCAGGAATTGAAGGTAACAGTTAGCAGATTTTCCCCAAATATTTGCCCGTATACATTTTTATCATACCTAGTCTCAAAAGCAGAAAAGAGTCTAGTCTCTTATATGTGGAAATCATCCCCCCTCATATCCAGTTCGTTATGTGAATTATTATTACATGGGAACATAGGAATTACCCTACTCGATCAGACAAGTGGTCTCAGTATTCTGTCTCAATCTGTGGCTAATATCTGAAGCTTCATAGGAAGGGACAAGAATCCTTGCAGTAGCTGGTTTGGGGATAACCGCTCCCCACCGCAAAGAGGTTTCGTTTTAACCACCAGTAATTACAGGTTGGCTTGTGTTCTGAAGTTGAGGGCTTATATCCCTTCCAAGACTTAATTTTTAAAATATCATATCCTATAATACTCTGAATATTATTGTTAACCATACATTTTTCTAAACCTTTTTTTGAATCCTCCTAAGCCGTTGGCCTCAATTATATCACATGGCAATGAATTCCACAAGCTATTTGTGCATAGCATTAAAAAGTATTTCCTTATATCTGTTTTAAATTTGCAAACTTTTCATTTAATACTGCATTGTAATTGGTTGCATTGAACAACAAAAATTTAAGATGGTAAGAAATATTTATGGCCATAGATAAATTAAAATGTTTGCTTTAAAATTTTATAAAGCTTAAGTTTTTAAGTACAGTGATCATGCCTGAGCCAAATGCTAGAATGTGCAATCTTCTGAAAAGTGATATAATTTGTAATATTGTCAGTGTGTGAGCTATAAGAATCTGATAGTCAAGTTCTTATCTGCTTTAGTAGTGATTTAGCAATAAGAAGGGAAATTTTAATATTTACAATGGTAAATATTTGTTTTGAGTACTAGGGTTTCTTTTAATTGTTAAATGATTAGTAAAACAGATTAGAAACTTGTAGTTGATGTTGCTAATGCCAAAAATGGCCTAATTTTCTGAATGATAGCAAGTGCCAGCATTAGGTTGAGAAACGTCATTGAACAATGAATTAAAAAATGCATAGAGCTGCACCAGATAGTTTATTTAGGCTCAGAAGTGTGTCTCGTCACTTGAAATTAACTTATTAAATATATTCAGATTCAGTTATATTCAGATCATAATAATTCAATTTAATGTGTGGTGTGGCTTGGTTTTAATAGATAACTATAGTTTGTTGGTTTTGAAGGTTTCTGTTTATCCAGGAACTCTAAAAATGTTTTGGGCTCCAGCTCCACCAAAATTTTCTGCGCCGCTTTCTTTCATGAAGGAAACCTTATTTCCTATGTATCAGGTAAATATTTTAAACGTTTTCTCTGTGTTGCTACCTTTTAAAAATATATACCGCTGTTATAATTTATGCTACTATTTTTATTGAAGTTTCTTTAGTAATATCTATAGATTATAATATGTATGATCTGTTGTACATATTGCATAATTTGCTTTGGTTTTAAATTCAGTTTCTGGAATAATGGAATTTCCTGTACAAGTTGGACCTCCCTGGTCCAGCACCTTTGGGACCTGGCAGATCCCAAATGTGGGAATTTGCCGTATCAGGGAGGTCCCCTGCCACTAACTCCGAAGCCCACTGGTGACTCTGCTTCTGGCTGTCATTGGCCACCCTACTGACGGCTTTAGCCAGGCTGCCTGCTGCTTGTCTTGGCTTGGCAAGCTGCTGCTGCCCCTGACTCCCAGCCCCACCGGGTTCCCAGCTGCAGCCCTCCTGCTGCCTGACTCCCAGCCACTGGGGCTGTCTAGTCCAGGAACATCTACGCTCCTGCCCAGATCGCGAGTGTTGCCAGACCAGAGAGTCCTGGTGTACGGAGGTGCAATCTGTAGTAATTTACGCTACTTAATATAGTGGCCACCTTTAATAAGGTGCATCTACACAGCAGGACTTAACTCGAAATAAGCTACGTTAATTGAGCTATGTCAATTGAGTAGCTTATTTTGAAATAGCTTATTTTGAAATTGGGAGTCTCTACACAACACTTATTTCGAAATAGAGCACTTTTCCTCCGACTTCCCTTACTTCTTGTACAATGAGGGTTACAGGAGTCAGAGTAAAAAGTCCTTCAGCTTGACAGTATTTCCACATTATTTCGAAATAAAATGCTGTGTAGTCATGGAGTAAGTTATTTCAAAATAACGCTAGTTACTTCAAAATAATGTTGCTGTGTAGACGTACAAATATTGTATGGTATTTGTTTTAATTGCATTTTAATAATTACCACCTTTCTCACTTAATACTTTTATATTTTAAAAAGGTGTTTTTCAATGTGTATTCTTTCTTTTAGTAAACTTTATAAAGTTACTTTATTAAGTCTCAGTGTGTGGTAGCTTATCACTGGTTTCTGTTAAAGTCTGATAACCCCTCATCCCCACACATTAGCAATTTAGATAGAAAATAATTTTAGAAATGTCAGTGTGTTTTTAAATTTTGTAATGTTGTTCTGCAATAACATTTTTGTTGTGCAAATACATTTGGCAGCCAACAGACCATCCAAGCTAGTGGACATGTCTAGTGCTTGGTGCTGGCACTCAAACTATGGAGAAGCCTGTAATCCATATACAATACTTTAGTGCAGGGGTGGCCAACCCGTTAGAGACAAAGAGCCAAAATAGTGGTGGATAGAGTGCGAAAAGCCATGTACCGGAGGGAGGGTGGGGGCAGAGGAAGTTGTTGAGCAAAAAAACAAAACAAAAAAAACCGCACTAGGGGAAAATAGGTGCCGGTACACCATCCCAGGGCATACCATCACAAAGAAAGTACTGGGAAGGGGTGAGAAGTGCAAGCTCTGGGAGGGAATTTGGGTGCAGGCGGAAGTAGAGAAGAGGATGCTGGCTCAGGGAGGGGACTCCAGGCTGGAGACTGCTGAGGTCAGGTGGAGGGTTGGGGTGCTGAACAAGCCGCAGGCTTGTGGCTGTGACGGTGCAGGAGTTTGGGCTGGGGTGAATGAGGGGCTCAGGGCAGGGAGGCTGGGAGTATGATGGGCTCAGGACACAGATTTACAGTGTGTGGATGGTGCAGGAGTGTTATGGCAGAAGACTGGGGATGTGGGGGTGCAGGAGTTTGGGGATGTGAGAGGCTCAGGATAGGGGGTTCCAGTGTATGATAGGCTCAGGTTTGGGGTCTGGGTGTGTGTGTGTGCAGGTGTGTGATGATGCTGCGGCCAGATGGGGGCTTGGCCTCAATTGGGGGCTTGTTGGCCAGGCTTCATTTTTAAATAAAATATTATGTCAAACACAAAATGTTTCAGCGTTGTCTTTATCTATGAGAGGGGCAGGGAACCTGTTTTGAGTCAAGAGTCACTGACCCAAAGAAAAGTCAGTTGGGACCACACAAGTGAGATGCAAAAAATCAACCGCTTCGAAACCCCCCAAGCCTCACTAATGTGGCCCCAGGTCTGCTGGTGGGGGCAGGGGACAGGGTGCTGGGGTAGGGTGCTGGGACAGGGTACTCGTGGTGGGGGGTGGGAGAGTCTGGCCAGGGGAAGGGGACAGAGACAGCTGGGGCCAGTACCTGGGGATCCCAGGTCTCAGGAAGC